GATGGAGGTTGATACCACACATTACTTTCCGAACAACCTGATATTTTTTGGCCATGAATCTTTTTATCCAAATTTCAAACCATACAGGCTTTGATGTACACGGATCTTCGCGAGAGAACCTACGTAATGATGAACGATGAGAAGGTGGTGATCAGACGGAGAGGAAGATGTGAGTGCGGCCTTTTCTTCCGTGGTACATTCTAATAACAAAAACTTCTATATTTGCAGATTTCGAGTTGTATTGGCCTCGCGGTGGTCGGGTGGCACGGGTTATCGAAGGTGGAGAGATAGCAGGTGAGGACGATGAAACTTTTCCAGTGTTCATGACTCCGTTTACGGCAGCTCCAAATTGATCGAGGCTTCAGAAGAAAATTGAAATGGTCAAGAAAAGAGAGCGATAACATTCAAGGGTTGTATATCTCCCACTAAATACTAAAGCTGGTTCCTTGATGACTTGTAGTTTTCGCGCCTAATTTGTGCTTTTATTAAGTTCCAGTATGAACCCTAAAAAATTCCAGCTGAGCGATATCCAGGGTTTCCGGAAAAAACCAGTCCCAGAACTTCTTACAAGGAATGGTCAATTGGTCGGTCCGGCCATTTGTAATGAGGTGTAGTCCGATGCACGCGTCTTGCGACGCTGAGCTCAAATCCGTTTTCGGTTTTTGCCGAACGATTCTCTGAACGAAGTTACGAGGGATTCTTCTCACTGTGGCGCCCTCTACGTCCCCTATCCCACTTGGCTCGCGTAAAAACAGAACGAACGAACAGAACGCATAACAGACCAATTATAAACGCTTTCTGGGCTCGTATGAGCAGCCTTGAAAAAATGCAAAAGTTGCTGCCAAAAGATTCGATCACATGACCTCACCCCTATGAAGCAAGAGCGCTATCCGCTAGACCACCACACTCACTGCATTAGATATGCATTAGATACTCTACGGCTCTTCTTATGGGAGCCGAGTGGGACAGGGAATGTAGAGGGCGCCACAGTGAGAAGAATCCCTCGTAACTCCGTTCAGAGAATCGTTCGGCAAAAACCGAAAGCAGATTTGAGCTCAGCGTCGCAAGACGCGTGCATCGGACTACACCTCATTACAATGGCCGA